CCGGGCCGCAGGAAGGACGCCAAGTCACCGAGCCAGGGGATCCATCGCCATGTTTATTTGCGCCCAGGAAGCGGGGCCCGAGCCCCCCGTCAGTGGCAGCCCTTGTTGAATTCCTGCAGGGCCCAGCGCTTGTTCTCGATACCCCCACACAGCTGGGCGTACTCCTGCACCAGCTCCTCGAACTCGGGCCCCAGGCTCTCGTAGGTGGCCAGGATCTTCTGAGCCGTGGCCAGCTCCTGCTCCTGCTGCTGCACGGCTCCCTGCAGGCCGGCCCTGGGGAGAGGGGAGGGGTGAGTGCCAGCCGGGGCCCCCGCCGCTGCCCCACCGGAACCCCCCCGTACCTGATGGCCCGATGCGCCTCCACCTTCTCCGGCGAGTAGGTGTCCAACAGCACGCTCAGCTCCTCCAGTCTGCGGGAGACAGCGCATGGCGAGAGCCCTGAGCCAGGGCAGCAGGGACCTGCTCCCGCACCCCACAACTTCCCCCCTCCCCCAAGGACCACCGACCCCCAACTTCTTCTTCGGGGCCACTGGGGCTGGGCAGGTCACCGTCGAGCCGCGGCCCCTGAACCGGCCCCAGCTCCCACGGCAGCACCTCCCACCTGCCGATGAGCTCCGGCCCCAGCCCCTCCCGCGCGCCAGGGGTGCGGTGTGTGCTCACCGGATCTTGAGGAACATGGCGCTGCACTTCACCTCCAGGTAGTGGGTGTTGAGCCGGTCCAGCTGGGCCTGTGTCCCGAGCCGGTGTTCCTGGGCCAGGCGCCGCAGCACGCCCAGGCACCGCAGGAGAGCCTGGGGGAGAGAGGGGGTGAGAGGGGGCGGGCCCCGGCCGAGGACCCCCGCCCACCCCCTGCCTGACCCATACCTGCGGGTACGCGGCTTTCTGCCTCTCCAAGAGCCCCATCAGCTCCCGGCACCGGTTCTGGGCCGCCTGCAGGCGCCGCTGCTCCGCTGCCAGTCCCTCCGCCAGGGTCCAGAGCATGGCGCAGCGCGCCGTCTCCCCCGCGCTGTCTGGGGGAACAGGGGTCAGAGCGGACACCCCCTCCCCCCCTGCCCCCCACCCCCTGCTCCGCTGCCAGTCCCTCCGCCAGGGTCCAGAGCATGGCGCAGCGCGCCGTCTCACCCGCGCTGTCTGGGGGAACAGGGGTCAGAGCGGACACCCCCTCCCCCCCTGCTCTCC